CTGCAGTGCTGCTGCTGTTTATAATGTGAAGGTGTACAGTGTCCAGAGCTGATCTGATGCTGATCTGAGTGTTCTGACAGAGTGTGTGTGCGGTTTTGAGTGTTTTGAGTGTGTGTTTGGTAACTGTCAGCTGGGTCAGTGATGTAACGAGAGTGTGATTCTGTGTGTGAACACTAGAGGTCAGCAGTGTGACCATTTCCCTCTGCAATCGGGACTTATGTCATGAAGGTCAACACTATTATAAGAGTTAACAGCCTAAATGGAAGAGGATTATAAGAGCCGTAAGTTCATTGTTTTATTTATGTTAAATTGACAATAATGTAAAAAGCAAAATATTTTCCTAAAAGTAATTTAATTTTTAATATTAAGTATATGCTGATGTCACTTCCGGGAAGGAAGAAGTTGTGTCATGGAGATGGAAGCGAGACAGTTTTTTGAGCGTGTAATGTAGTTCAGTTAAGTTGTTATTAAACATGTTCGAAACGACATCACTGGACTGTCTTATGTTACCCGCGTTCAAATCCTGCTAGCTCAAAGAGAGAAACAAGACAAGGATAAAGCTGTTTACATGTGTATGAGGAGGACATGCCAATCCACATCCAACATTATGGAGAAGCAGAATACACGCTCTTATCATGGGGGTAGAACATGGTTTGGGCCAGAACTCGCTGTTAAACCAGAAGAAGTGGAGTCTGAAGCTCTCTCTGTGTGTGTGTGTGTGTGTGTGTGTGTGTCTGTGTGTTTCAGGCGGTGCGGTTCGCGCAGACAGCAGCAGCTCCTGCAGCTCAGCCCAGGATCAAGAAGTTCCAGATTTATCGCTGGGATCCAGACACAGTCGGAGACAAACCTCGCATGCAGACATACGAGATCGACCTGAACACGTGAGTGGAGCTGCAGGCGTCTGTTCAGGAGTGTCTGAGTCTGAGGCTGCGTTCACACCTGTGAATGGATTCAGTTGTTCTGAAACAGAGATTATAATTGTTACAGTGTTGCTCTTTGCTCTTGGAGCGGTTCGCTTTCACACTGCAAAGTTTCTTTCCAAAAGAGCTAAAACAAGTCACGTGTGAGTAAACTCTCCTCACATTGGTCAGAGTGTCAGGGTTTATTTTGCAGCGTCCCGCTCAGCTGTCAGGAGAGGTGGTGGTTTGGTGGTGATTGACAGGGTGCACGCGATGTGTCTGAGGAGAGATGCGGTGGGGAGGGTGAGAAGGGTGCGCGACGATGCCTATTTGAGGACTGGGAGGGAGAAGCGAGATTACCGGGAGATCATCACTCGTTTGCGGGCATCCGGAGACTCGCGAAACTTCCCGCCATACTCATAATTCTCTCTTCATATAGCCGTAAGCCTATTACATATCCATAAAACACTGTGATATAACCGCGCTCAGATCGAATCACTTTCTCACTGCAATCGATCCGCTCCAGGGTTCGTTTCAATCGAGCCGAGACCACCTCACTCAAGCGATCTCAGAGCGATTACTTTGGCGCGGAACAGAGCGCGATTGCCCTGTTCACATATGCCAAACGAACCGCGCTAACTGGGCAATCGAGACACGTTTAGGTCTGAAAGCACCCTGAGTCTGAGAGTCTGAATCTGAGGGTCTGTGGTTTGAGTCTGAGTGTCTGTAGTTACTGTAGTGTGTGTCTGTTAGGTGTGGGCCGATGGTTCTGGACGCACTCATCAAGATCAAGAATGAGATGGACAGCACACTGACCTTCCGGCGCTCCTGCAGAGAGGGTAAGCAGCGTTCGAGTGTGTGTGTGTGAGTGTTTGTGTGTGTGTGTGTGTAAGTAAGCAGTGTTGGAGTGTGAGTGTGTGTGTGTGTGTGTGTGTGTAAGCAGTGTTGGAGTGTGAGTGTGTGTGTGTGTGTAAGTAAGCAGTGTTGGAGTGTGAGTGTGTGTGTGTGTGAGTGTTAGTGTGTGTGTGTGTGTAAGCAGTGTTGGAGTGTGAGTGTGTGTGTGTGTGTGTGTGTGTGTGTAAGCAGTGTTGGAGTGTGTGTGTGTGTGTGTGTGTGTGTGTGTGTGTAAGTAAGCAGTGTTCAAGTGTGTGTGTGTGTGTGTGTGTAAGTAAGCAGTGTTGGAGTGTGTCGCTCTGATCAGCGTGTGTTGTGCTCCTCAGGCATCTGTGGCTCGTGTGCTATGAACATCAACGGTGGAAACACATTGGCGTGTTTGAATAAGATCGACACCAACACCAGCAAGGTGACCAAGATCTACCCGCTGCCGCACATGTATGTGGTGAAGGACCTGGTGCCCGTGAGTACAATAACACACGTTTCTGACCCGAGTTTCTTCATCGTCAGTATTATTGAGCAATAAGACCCCTGAGCAGAGTAATCCTGGTTAATAACACACCGCTCTGCCCCCTGCAGGACATGAGCAACTTCTACGCCCAGTATAAATCCATCGAGCCCTACCTGAAGAAGAAGGACGAGTCCCAGCAGGGGAAGCAGCAGTACCTGCAGAGCGTGGAGGACCGCCAGAAACTGGTACAACACACACACACACACACACACACACACACACACACACACACACACACACGCGCGCACACGGGCATCATAGCTGTGGTTCCATCAACCTGGGGCAGAAACAGCTGAAGGAGACGCCAACTTTTAATAAAAGTCCCTGAATCTACAGATAAATAATTGGGCTTTCTTGAGAATGCTTGAAGACACAGTTCACCCAATAATGACTTCATATAATAATGAGTTTCTCTTTTCTGTTGAACACAAAAGAAGATATTTAGAAGAATGGTTGAAACCTGTACCCACTGAACTCCACAGTATTAGTTCGCCTACTATGGAAGTGGATGGTTACAGGTTTTCAGCAGTCTTCAACATATCAACAGAAGACAGACACTAATAAGGGCTGAACATCACTTGAGGCAGAGTAAATGATGAGTAAACTGTAGAGTGAACGGCACCTGTAATGTGAATGATGAGAGACGGAGAAACTCCAGTACACTCGCCTTGTTTACTGTTGGTTGCTAGGTTACCAATACTACAGTCAGCCCCTCTAACAGTGATGGAAACACAGCTAACTCGCATCTGGGACTTGATGTTGGTAAGGAAACCTGGCTAATACTGTGTGTGTGTGTGTGTGTGTGTGTGTGTGTCAGGACGGCCTGTACGAGTGTATCCTGTGCGCCTGCTGCAGCACCAGCTGTCCGAGTTACTGGTGGAACGCAGACAAGTATCTGGGTCCAGCCGTCCTCATGCAGGTGAGACGCAGCACTGAGCAGTTCAGTATATCAGGATCAGATAACTAACGCTAGCATCACGCTATTGAGCTAATCTGCTGACAGAATGACGGTAACGGCTATATTAACTCCATACACTGAATATCCGACACGCAGGACACCTCTGATCACCGTGTCTTTACAGTGTCCTGCAGCTCTGAATGAAAAACAACCAAGAGGAGAGGTGTGTTTTAAAATGTGTGTGTGTGTGTGTGTGTGTTATTCGAGGCGTACCGCTGGATGATCGACTCTCGGGATGATTTCACTGAGGACAGACTGTCCAAGCTGCAGGACCCGTTCTCTCTGTACCGCTGCCACACCATCATGAACTGCACCAGGACCTGCCCCAAGGTAAAGCTCAGCGCTGCAGCACGCCTGTGTGTGTTTTAACTAAAGTAAGCTCTAGATCAGCTGAACCACAGGCTTATAACGAACACTTTCCAGCTCTTCAAGCCTTCACATGGCAGTATGTAATGTCATATCTCAGTATAGTGCAGTGCTGATGTGCCGATATGAGAGCTTCAGTGAGTCACACTAGCCTGCAGACGTGCTCGAGGCTAACACACTGACACTAGCCTCTATAACACGCTGAGGCCTATGTGAAGTGTTCTGATGGGGTTTGTGGTCCGGCAGGGGCTGAATCCAGGAAAAGCCATCGCTGAGATCAAGAAGATGATGGTGACGTATAAGCAGAAGGACGCGGTGGCGGCGTAAAGCGGCACCTACCCTGATGAAGATGATGTACAGCACTGCCGTCATTCAGCACAGAGATCATCCACAACCACCATCACTCCATTACTGTCAGACTCACTGTGTCTGCTGCTGTATGCTCAATAACACACACACACACACACACACACACACACACACGCTTCGGGCTGTACTTCTGCTCATACACACCTGAGAGAGGCTGCATGCAGAGGTGTAGTGCGCTCTGACGTCTGCTAACTCTGCACCCTCACTCTGAATATTAATGAAGTGCAGGTGTCGTTATATTTGAGTGTAATTATGAATAAACATATATCAGACTATCAGCAACACACCGCTCTGTTGATCAGTGTCCGACTGCTTCACTCGTGTGTCTTCATTGTGTTGGTATTGCTCTGGGTACATTCATTCACTCATTTTCCTTCAGCTTAGTCTGTTTATTAATCAGGGGTCGCCACAGTGGAATGAACCGCCAACTATTCCAGCATATGTTTTACACAGCAGATGCCTTTCCAGCTGCAACCCATCAATGGGAAACACTCATACACACTCATTCGTCTAGTGTAGTTGATCAGTTCCCCTATAGTGCATGTGTTTGGACTGTGGGGGAAACCGGAGCACCTTGAGGAAACCCATGCCAAGACAGGGAGAACATGCAAACTCCACACAGAAACACCAACTGACCCAGCTGGGACTCAAACCAGAGACCTGAGTGCTGTGAGGCGACAGTGCTACCCACTGCACCACCATGATGCCCTCCAGGTATATTATATTTAGTAAAACATGACGCCGAGAGAGCGGGAATTTACATAACGACAGATAAACACCATCACATACAGAAAGATTCAAATAAACGCATAATTAATGAGTTCTGCACAAGATTCATTCATTTAATAAAGATTTCAATGGCGCAGCAGGAGTGAAGAGGTTTACTCGCCTTTCTAATATTATTATGTCTGATAAAACGTGACATAAAGCAGTATTTCATATTCAGAAGTTGCATTTGTGAATATCACAGTAATAAAATAAGCAGATTATAGTGTACGCTTCAGATTCAAACAAAAATATCAACTAATTATCTAATACTTATTGATTTTAATATGAATATATTCAACATATTTCAAATGAATGAGGTTTACGCTTACGCAAATGCACACAAGACTCACAAATGAAGAGTTTCACTAGCTTTCTCGTTATTATTACTGTTTCAGATTAAGAACTATCAATAGGAGCAGCTTTTATTATACAGACTTTCGCATTTGTGATTATCAAACTAATAATATAAGCAGATTATAGTCTACGCTTCAGATTTAAACACATTCATTAAACTTTAGGTGTCTAGAACTGTTTAAGATATTACATAATAATTCGTGATCTCGTAATCCAAATCCAAACACGCATCACATAATACAGAAAATCAACGGCAAATCAGAACACAGCTGAAATGAAAGCAGTTTGGGTTTACACATGATTCATCATGTATATAAAGACTGTACAACTGAACTGTTCTAACAGCTTAATCTCTATATTAGGACGACTATTTCAGATACATTCTTTTAAAAACTATTGAAAAAATCTTTTTTTGAAAGTTTGTGAACATCAAATTAATAAAATAAGAAGATTAATAATGTAAACTTTAGCTTGTTAATAATTTTAAGATCCAAAACCAACATGATAATAATAATAATATATTCATAAAACGGTTACATCTGAAGTTAGCGGTTTATAAGGAGTCACGTGATCAGTCAACGGTCAATTGGGTCATTTACAAACGAGCTCACAGCACAGTACTGCAGAACAGATATATGAGAGTTTTATATGGAATATTAGCTGTATAAAAGACACAATAAACAGATATTTACGCTCTTTGGAGAACGGCGGACGGATAGAGATATATCCAGCTGCAGGCCCGCAGAACCACACACGTTTTAGGCACACACAATCTAGGACTCACGATTTAGGCAAACCATATATGGTAACTAACTCTTTAGCATTATCGCCACCTATTGACCTTATTCTCTGCAGACGAGCGGGCGCTGCCATTTGAATCTTTTTGGCACGAGACTTCCGGTCTCATTCACTTCCATTCATTTTTAGACATTAAAAACTGCTCGTTTCGCTGTTTAATGTTGCAAACTGATATTTCCTTGTTATATTATTCTACTTGGTCTGTATAGTTATGCAAACGTTTGTTTGTAGAGCAAGTAGCTTGACCGTTTTTTGCCGTTTATTATTCCTTGTCATTTCTCCCATAGGCGACTGAAACGGAACTTCTAAGACAATCGCGAAAACAGGCGCACTTCCGCATTTTAGAATAAGGTCAATAGAATTTCACAAGTATGGTTTCCCATTTCAGTCATTATTATTATTATTAAATCGTTAGGATCATTTTAACATTTCTGCGGTTTCTGAACTCAAATTATGTAAATAAAAATAACTGGTTAAAGACACTTATGACTTTATTCATTTGTCCACATACACAAAGAAAACAATATAGACCGTATAAATGTTAGATTAAGTGTAATAAACTAATTCAGGATCTTAATCTTATTATACTTGGTTAAAATCACTTTGTTGTAAAATATAAAAAGCAAAC